TATATATATATATATAAGGTCATATTTCAAGATATGCCAATATATTCATTCAAGAAGTCAAAATAGTTGTAGCAAAAACAACTATGCATAATTTCATATGCAAATATCCATCTTGAGATATGTGGATTTCAGGGTTATAGACGAGGATCCTATGTGCATAATCATAGAAGCATTCAAACATCATATATGACGGCCAATACTGGATAAAGATTTGAGTGTTAAGACACTCGATGGGGAGGGTGTTCAGGAGATGATTCAGTTGAGGGAACAAATCACAGATGTCTTCGTGAATGTGTCAAATACCTATAACTGATAAATTGATTGAACATTATGAGTGACTTTTGAGGTATTTTTTAGTTTTTTTTGCTAAGTAGGATAAAACTATGTAGGTTGATGCAATGCATATTTAATTCATAAAATTTTTCTTGTTTTTATTTTATTGAACTATGGACATGCTTTGATTGCTCCTACTTGGATGGCCAATCGAGCAACTGTAGGTAAAGTTTTTAAATATTCTTGTATTGCTAATAATATGCTTACTTTCTTTTAGGGTCTATTGCCTTGCTATGATGTGAGAATTTACTCTCGTTTTACTGAATATTGTTATTGTAACAATAACATTATAATAGTTTTAGGTTTTATATCTATTTTTTCTTTCTAATTTCTCATTTTAATATCAATTTGAGCTTAAGTATATGCATTATAAGAAAATAAAAGTTCAAGAAACTCTATTGGCTTGAGAATTAATATTGTCACCGCGGTTTATAATTTTTTGGATGCACGTCTCGGCAAGAAATTAATTTTGGGAGAAAATTTTATAAGCGTTCGAGAAACATGACGCTTGATGACTGTGACTTCTTTAGATAAGTTGAGGATTGTGAGGAGTCTACTCCAAATAGCGACAATGTTTGGAGAGTAACTTTGAAAAAGATATTCTGCCAGCAGCTTGATCATTTAGACATGAAAACTACAATAATAATAATTTTACTTGCTCTTATTTAATTACAAATTTTTTGTAATTCATTAATGTCAATTGATGTATGACTTGCAACGTAATATTTTGGATTCCTAATTTTTTGTAATATTTTGAAGTTTATTTTTATTGTTTTGTTTGAACTATTTTTGAAATTGTACACTAACAACTATATTTTGCAAGGACAAATTAGTCTTTATTTCAGAATTAACTGTTGCACATCAGTATCACGTATGAATTATCCAAACAAGCTCTAGTTGTTACTCCTGGTAGCAGCTTCACAACTACTACTTCAAAAAGTTGCAAACTCTAATTTCACTCCAATTATTTGATTCAAAACTAATTCGCAAGCTTAAGCTGGGCTCATGTTCGGCTTGCTTGAAATAGCTCGTGTTCGAAATCGGCTTTTGAATAGTGTGTTCGTGTTCGACTCGATTTAAAAATTCGTGTTCGTGTTCGGCTCGAAATTGGCTCGTTAAACTTAAATTGAGAAAAATAGTTATAAAACGTGGGAATCGAACCTGAATCAAATATATACAAAAGAATACACTAATCACATTGCAACATGAGGTGTTATGATTTAAACTTATACATAAATATATATAATATATTATTATATAAATAATATATATAATATATTGTTATATAAATAGTTATATAATTTTTTTATTTGGAGCTAAAACAAGCCGAACACAAGCGAATCCGAATACGATCGAAAGAGTTATTCGTGTTCGGCTCGTTTATAATTCGAGCTTCAAAAATTTGTTCGTGTTCGGCTCATTTGTTAACACGAGCTACTTAACGAGTCGAACACGAGTTGTTCGCGAACAACAAGCTTTTTTGACAGCCCTATTCATAGCTATACAAAAATAATAAGAAAAGCAAACCATTCACTACGAACTGATTTTCAATATAAAAAATTGGCAATTTAGATATATATATATATATTAGTCCAATCATGTTAATCGAACTAACCTACACCTGACATACACCTGCCCCCATCAATTAAACAGTTGAAGTTATCAAACTTCACCCACTCCTTATTTTTCAACCTCTTCTACCATACAACTAAACAATCATCTCACATCATGCGATAAGGACTCATAAAATTTTTAATTTATAAATATCAATGTTTCGGGTGGTCTGTGTTTAATTTTCCCAATTAATTTTTAATAGAAACTTACTCGGTCATTATAAATTATTAAATACAACGTTGCCATTAACACACTATATTCCTTCCAAGCTAGTCACCACCGAGTCTAGGATTTAGCAACCTTTGTATCATGAAAAGAAGAAGAAGAAGAAGAAGAAGAAGATGCAGGATAGGAGACAGAAAAGATAAAGAAGAAGACATGCCTCATTAACCGTCCGATCAAAATCAAGCGCTCTGCACATTAACAGTCTTCATCATGGTCTTAAACTCAAAGAAATCCACCAGTCCATCACTATCCCGGTCCACAGATCCGATCATCAGCTGAACCCGATCTAGGGTTCGCCCTTCAGCCAAACCCAACTTCCCGAGCACCACCTGCAACTCTTTCGCTGAAATGAATCCATCCCCATCCTCATCGAAAACCCTAAACGCCTCTCTCATCTCCTCCTCCTCCTCCACCTCTCCCCTGCTTCCATCGGCATTGAATAGGGCGTCACCGAGGGAGCGGTGGATTGAATTGAAGGAGTCGAAATCGAGGCCGAGACGGCCGGTCGGGATGTAAGATGCGATGGAGGAGCAGAGTTCGGCGGGATCGACGCCGAGGCCGAGGCAATCGAGGGCGAGACAGAGCTCTTCGGAGGTGATTTCTCCGTCGCCGTTGCGGTCGAAGATGTCGAAAACGCGGCGGAGGCGGAGGGAGTTGAGGCTCGGGGATCGGAGGCGGAAGGATGGGGAGGTGTGGAGTAGGTGGGGTTTGAGAGATGAGACGATCAAAGGGGTTTCGATCGCCAGTTGGGATGGGGGGATTTCTCCGGCCATTTTTGTTGCTTGAGATTTGACTATTGGCTTTTGCTGGTGGGAGAGGAAGACGGGGAAGTGGAGACGGTTTATGAATTATTAATGGCTGAGAAAAAACGGGAGGGTGTTGAGGACATTTAATGCCGTATGGCGGGGAGTGCCAGTCAGTAAACGCTAGAAGGTTTGGGTATGTGAAAATGGAAAAAAAGATTAGGTGCTGGTATGGGAGTGCTTTATACCTATCGCGCGGTTATTTGCTGTTAATTTTTGGCGAAAATTATCGTCATAATATTTGCAAAGTGGAGAGAAAGCGGGCGCGGCCCGTTTTCGTCCCGCGGCTTCGCTTTCGTCCCGATATTTTTATTTTTTACTCTATGTATTTCTCCTCTGTCCTAGCTGCTTTCCCGCTACTTCTCTTGCGAATCCCCTTGTCCTTCTTCTTTCATAGCCCCTCGATTGATCGATCTCAGGTACGACGAACCATTTTCTTCTTGTATTTGCGGATCTGAGGAAGGTTATGCGTTTTCATGGCTCTGATGTTTTCTCCTCGTTATCTCTTTCCTATTTATGCCATTTTTCTTCCTCCTTCTCTGTGGTGGATCTGTAGCTTCACTAAGGCATCAATGACATCAGTGATTTTTGTTTTTGTTCTGTCCGCTTAGCTAGAAATTGGCAACAAAAATTCTTAATTTTTTTTTGTTTTTTTTTTCTCTTTTTATTAATATTTAAATTTATGAACAAATTTAACAAAAAAGGACAACATGATCATTTTCCAGAAATATCTGCTCCAGAGCTGTTTTCACACAGCTGCACCGAACAGGCTGTCAGCTTTCCCGCAGCAGCTTTCTAGGGCAGTGCATCTGAAAAGTTGAGATGTTGCAGTTGCGCCAAACAGACCCTACATCATGGGTATTGGTGTAGTTTTACATTGTTTAAGACTGAATGAGGGTCTGTCATTCATATATGTATGTCCATCTTAATAAAAACAAAATAAGAATATATATGTGCGGGTCTGTTTGTATATGTGGCAGGTTCTGATTGGAGTCCCGATGTAAAAAATATATCAAAACTCCTAATGCAATAATTTTTCGTGAAAATGGGGTCTGTCATCGACCGATTTGACTTTCACTGAGGGCGTGGAGAAATACCTTGAGGGTGACGACAACCTGACTACTATGATGGAGGACTAATAATAGGAATCATATGACAGAAGTCAAATGTCAGCATCATCAACAATTGTGGCTGGGCGATGATGGTCTAACAACGGTGATGGGTTGATGGCGACCTAACTAACATGGCTTCGATAATAGCAATGCTTATTGGGCAACGTGGTCCGACGATGGTGATGGTGGTCTGGTAGCGTTAGTCCGGCAGCGGTGACACGACGATGATGGTGGGGGGCAACTACTGCTCAACAATGGTGGTCTAACGACGATGATAGTCTATTGGAAAACGGTGGTGGTCGAGTAGTGGTGGTCCTACGAAGATAAATGTTGGGCAACAATTGCCCGGGGGCGGTGACGTCGACAACGGTGGTGGTCGAGTTGTGATGATCTAGTGGCGACGACAAGGCAACTCTTGCGGCAGCAATGGTGCAATAGTGGTTTGATGGCGGCAACAATCCGTGGATAATGGTCAAGCAGAGGTGGAGCTCGAGAATTCTTAAAAGTTTGGAGCTTTCTTCAGCATTCACTCATCCCAAAGAGTGTTGGGGTTTATTTTTTAATTTTGTAATTGGCATCATTAGTAAATATTGAATGTTCATAGTGCCAAGATCAACACTATGAACTAGTCCTACGAGTTTGGCGCCACAATGATAGGAGAAGTATAAATAACATTCAATGGTGTTAGGATGCCACCTCCTTTTACTTCATGACATCATGGTTCTCTCTTTATGATGATATGAGAGGCGATTTTTGTATGTATGCATTTATAAGCATGTGGTTCTTTACACCTGTATGCCATGTATGTTGACCAACATTTATATGCATGAATTATCTATTATTTTCATGACATTTTGATTTTGATTACGAGATCTTTGGTTGTACATTTAGAATGTATTTTTGATTTTATCCTCTTCTGAAGAATTTTGACCGGTCTTAATTTTGATAGGTTTAGCTCTGGAGGTACACCCTTTATGGTGTTTTTTTTATAAATTGCTTGTGTGTATGTTCGTATATGCAGTGTCTTACTTCTCTAAGTAAGGCCCCATTTTAGGTTACACCATGTAGGTTTATTTCTCATGATTCAACATGTCAGTGATGGTATTCAAATGATCCTTAGTATAACAAGTGATAATAATAGGGAAACGAGCATTGATCATTGAGTAGTACAAATTATTCTATTATTTACATATCTCATAGGATTGATTTAAGCATAGACCTGTGCTAACATTTGTCACTTGTTGTAATGACTATTAGTTCATTAAGATGCTTAGAATAGGGCTAGCTTGGTGACTTCATTAAAATCATTTGGGAAAGGCTTTTCTCCTTGCACCACGGCTTGGACATAGATGAATGTATAGGCAACACCTTGTAGTACTTGTTTAGAAATAAATTTAGGATATAGTTATGGATTTTCATACACAACTATTGTTATTTGGTGTGTATTTGTTAGTGTACACTTGATGTGCCTTGTTCCTGTTTTATCGAGTTTTGAGACTTGTGCATTAGTGTGTTAGGGCAAATTTTTCTTGCAGGGCATTATATTTTATAGAAAGGAGCTTAATGATTTAAATTAACACATTTTCTACAGGTGTCACTTCGCTCTCTTCCTATCGAGTGCATCATTTTATATGTTACATGAGATAACCCATGCTAACCTTTGTTGCTGGTTGATTCCTTTTTGGGACATTTTTTTATAAACTTTTACAGTCTTTTTGGATAGTCTGTATTGAAAATAAAGTACGGGGCGAGTGCCGAAGCTTGGAGCATGCATCCTGTGGAGAGGATCAGGAGTTGTTTACTATATATATATATATTAATAACATGTTGCCTGCTGATGCATTGCGAGAGTATTTTATCTAGCCAAAAATTTAAAGAAAGTTATTCCAATAGTATAAATAATTTAGATATTATGTATTGAATGGGTTAAGGGGACATGATATATTATATGATGTTGCTTTTAATGGAGTTGAAATGCTTAATCAAATGATAGTTAACAATGATTTTGTTTTTTTTTTTTTTCCAAAATGCTAAAAAATAAGATTCAAATGTTAATTTTGATGGTCCTTTAGACCACAAGATAGAGAACACTAAATTTATTTTACTCTGATTTATATTGATATGATCTTTCAAACCAAGTTTGCATTACAAATTATAATAAATGCATAGTTTTTTATAGTAATGTTTGAGTATATGAAATTAACTTAAATAAATCCAAATTATTGATTATATATGTTCATCATGATGATGATGTAATATGACATTGTGGATGATATTTACATGCTATAGCATGTCAACATATATGTTGTCATTCGATTATGTACACTTCTATATTTATTTGTCATTTTATAATCCCTTTTGGTACATAATCAAATAGATATAAACTAAGAAATGATTGAGTATATTGAAGCTAAATTTAATGTTTAAGTCTCATATATAAAAATTTGGGATGCAATGAGAAAGACAATTCTAATAATCTTTGATAGTTGAGAAGAGCAATATAGAAGTTTATATCATTTTATGGATGCTGTAAGAATGTAATGCCCAAAACTATTTATAGTCTTGAGTTTACACAAAAATGTCATTTTACAAGTTTATTTTTGATTTTTGGGCCATCTCTTTCAAGTTGGTCTCACTGCCGCTCAATATTAAGTTTTAATGGTATATGTTTATTAGAAATCATAGAGGAACACTCTTAATTGCCTGCAGTTGGTATCAATGCTAAAAATATTCCATTCTCACTAGCATTTGTCATTGTTTAGTCTGAATCAAATGATTCTTGGATGTGATTTTTATGTAGTCTATATGACTCCACTAAAACTAATAGATGTCTATAAGATCTTTGTATGGTGTTCGATAAGCATTTTGTTTTGATTAAAGGTTGCAAAAAGATATTTTATTGGGTTGTGCATCATGATTGCTTTTTTCATTTAAGGGAGAATTGTAAGAAAGTTGTACGTCAAATGGGATTAAAAAATAGAGAAATGATATGCGATAGAAATGTATTCTGCTAAAAATACATATGATTCAGATATTTTAAGATACATATGTTTGATTTTTTTAATGTAAAAATGAAAGCGTGTGATTAACTAATAGAATGATATCTCACATGATTGAATTTATATTATAGCAGTGATTCTATTAATAGAACAATGATTGCTAATGCATATGATTCATTCAATGGTGTTCTTAGGCAGGCTCTTGCAGTGCCTATGCAAGCATTAGTTTGTGCTATTTGTTATTACTTGTTTGCTATTTTTATTAATAATCATAACATAAAAAATAAATTTTTTTAACCAGAAAATATAAATTTGTTCCTAGAACAATACGAAAGAAAAAAATGCCAATTTCCCTAATCAACTTGCATAAATCCTTATGGGTATGAAGTTTTATGATAGCTCATGCATAACATTTTAAGTTGATTTTGATGGAAGTGAATATTATAAATGTGATTACAATTATCTTATAATTTATCAAGTGCCATATCCACATGCTATTGTTGCAGTTGGAGCAAAACGCGTGGATCATATTTTATTTCTCAAAAGTATGCACAAACATATGAAGTAGTTTTTCAAACAATCCCTAACTACAACTAAAGACAATAATCTAGTCTAATAGAGGGAATCATAGAGTTGAATCCACCATGAATTAGAAGATGACCAGGTTGACTAAGAGCAATGTGTATTCGTAATATAATGGATAAAAATGTGGACGGGAAGACTATGTAGTTGCTGTCATCAAGTACGACAAAATAAGTCTGCGTGCTTACAATATTCATAAAATATAAGGTATGAGTTATTTTTTAAATTTTTAAAATTTTTTTCTACTTATTCTACATTTTATTTTGCAAAAAAAAAAACCTAGACCACAAAGACATAACTTCGCCCACAATAAAGTTGGTTATAGAGACGAGATAGAGGCATAACTATGCACTTATTTTTCTTTTTATTTTGCTTTAATAATTTAAAAAAATTGTAAATATATTTTAAAAATATTACACCATGCTACTAATAATCTTTTTTTTAATTATTTTATTTTTTATAGGAAAATATTAAAAATGGGAATATTTTAATGTTATTGTTTAAATTGCTTCAAAAATTTAATAAAACGTTACTTTTTTCCAAATTAAATAATAAAATTTACAATTATAAAAAAAAAGGTTGTCGTTCTTACATTATCAAAATTTTGATAACTACATTTAAATATTATTTAAAAATATTTCCATTTTTTAAAAAGATTTAAATAAATTAAATTAAAAAATGACTATATAACTACAGTCATTTATTAATTTAATTAAATAAAAAATAATAAAAATAAAATTGGCCCTGCAGGCCGGGTCGCCCAAGTCACCTAATCCTTGGGTGACTTCCATAGCGGGGAGTGGCCCAACTTTGTCACCACTAGCTCCTTTTTAAATTCTTCTACAACAAATACTCTAGTACGTTTATTTACAAAAATATCCCTTCCAAAAAAATTTTCCATTATTTTATTATTATATCTTTATTAATTAACCCAACTCATTTATCAATGTATCATTATTCACCATATTCAATTCATTAAAAATTTTTATATTAAACAATTTATCATTATGTAAATACATATATATATATATATATATA